CACAAGGGGTTAAAGGGCAGCACTATGAAGCTCTCCATAGCCGCTGCAACACGAGTTGATCCCTGACCAGGGGACCCACAAGGTCCAACAGACCTCTCCTGGCTCCATTGCTCCCCTCAGCAGTGTATTTCAGTAGACCCATCTGTTCTGCTCCTCACTTTGTCTCTGGTGAATCCCCCCCACACCTCTGGCCTGTACCCCAGTTCTTGTATGCATAAATAAATCTTTAAAAAAAGAAAATTAATGCAGGTGATAAATAAATATAATTGATGTTTGGGAAGTCCTAGGCTGATATCAGATTAAGAGAGACTATTTCTAAACTCCCACCCAACCTCAAGACACAAGGTTCAAAGGGAAATTTTAAGAACAGTTAATCCAAGAGAGACTAGATAAATGAATCCTTGGTAAAAGGTACAGTAAACCTTCCCTTATACAAGTCTAAGGAAGAAACTTACAAGAACTTTAAAAAGTGGTTACCTACAGGAATTGGAAGAGATGGATAGGATAGTATGTTGTCATTGTTTAGACTTTGGGAATATATATGACTGAATTACTGATATAGAGTAAAAAAATACTTTATTTAAGACTAGGTATATATTTTAAAAGAACAGTTATCCATTCATTCAACAACAGCAGAGTATCTCCTATAATCCAGGCATAGTTCTAGAAACTATAAATATACAAATAGTAATATAGAAAAGTAATATGCCATGTGGTCACCTCCGGGGCTGGCGGGAATCGAACTCATGCGGAAGTGGCTTTAGCTTCTTAGTGCTGTGCTTTAACTCGCTGCGCCACCAGGGAAGGCCGGTCCTATTTATCTTAATAAACATCCTCAGAAGATTCTAGCATCGTATCTGACTTAAAATAATGACTCTGGCCTTCCCTGGTGGCACTAAGAAGCTAAAGCCACTTCCGCATGAGTTCGATCCCCGCCTGCCCCGGAGGTGACCACATGGCGCCGCAGACCTCTCCTGGCCCGCCCGCTGCTCCCCTCAGCGGTGTACTTCATCGATCTGCCTATTCTGCTCCCTACTCTGTCTCTGGTGAACCCTCTCACCCTCCGCATCTCCGGCCTGTACCCCAGTTCTGTATGAATAAATAAAATCTTAAAAAAAATGACTCAATAAAAGTATGTGGCTATAGGTGATAATAATAAAGATGACAATGATGCTAAATGCTAGAGAAAGGACATTTATGGTCTTTCTCCCTGTGCTTGTGCTTTAAACAATACCTGTTTCATCTCTCCCTAACCCCTCCAAGGAAAAGGAGTCAGCAATCCAATTGGTCTGAGCACAACAAGTTCATTAGTTCATATTTTAGGAAGGGCAGTGTACCCTAGGGTCAGCACAGGGATGAAGCACACTTTCTTCCAGCCTAACCCCGAACTAGTCCCCCTTGTGCGTTGTTGTCCTCTCTTAGTATCTAGGCACCTCTCTCCACCATACCTGAACCCACCGGTCCTATTGGGAAGGTAGGCCTTTTAACACATTACCCAATTACTCCAGTACCATTTGTTAAATCGATCTCTGCCAATGATTTAAAATGCCACCTTCAGTATATTCTGTATACTGAGCACACGCACAGTATTTCTGTATATTAGTAGATTTGTATTGAGAGTTGGGTCTATTTCTGAGCCTATTTACTACTTTAATTGCTGACTTTCTCATCACTTATTTCCCATTCCTTTTTGGAGTCAGGAACCCTTAAAAACTGGGAGAATCTGTTGCAAAGACTCTCCATGACAAGACATGTCATTTTATTTTTACTTTTCATATAATATGCTTAGCCCTTTTGCCCAAGTTGGTGAAATTTCTAGATGATACAGAATTTTTCTCAAAATTTTCAGTCACAGGAAATGGCATTAATACCACCTTTAACTTCTAGAGGAGAGTGCCAAAAAGCACACACAGACTTCAAAAACCTTCTTTCCCCCCTCCACCCCAATCTATCTAAGTTAGTTGACCACCTTCTTGAGTGCCTGCAGTTTTCACTAGAGGGCTGCCTGCCATTTTGCCTGACCACTTAAATGATGGAGCTGTGTGTTCCAGCCTTTCCACTGGAACCCATATTCTCTTCCAGGAAACCAATATGCTTCTCCTACACCCCTCTGCCTCAAGGTGCAGTATCTGAATTACCCAGCTCTTAACCATCTTCAGTCTCCTAGTAGTTACAATTCCCAGCAATAATGAGGACTTTTGCCTATTCTCCCTGTTTTATGACAAATTTTACCTGAGATTGTTTATTGAAGTGCTGGGAATGCATTAGATGACTTTCTAGAAGTATGTACTTCACTGATAAGAAGCAGGAAGAGAGGATCATGACATTGCAGGCCGCACAAGTGCATTTCTTTGGCTGGTAGAATTTCCTAATGAATCTAGTCTTAGTGAACTGGCAGCACAATGCAAGAACTGACTGGACCTAGAGTCAGAAGGCCAAATGCTGAGGTGTTCTTTTCTCCTACTTGCTACCAAAATGACAGAAATCCAGGTATCTCATTCATTCTAATATGTTCTGCCTACTGTGTGCCTTAAAGACACAATTATAAAGGAGGGGGGGATGTTGGAACTGGCTGCACTAAGTTCTTCCTTTCCACTCTCCCCTCCCACACACATGCATGTACTGGGGAAGGTGAATCTGGACCCCAGGTAAAAGTGTACTGTGACAGAGGCTTCATGGCAGATGCTTACCCGAAAGGAATCCAAAGCAGAGGGCCTGGTTACCTGCATAGGAATCACCTAGATTGTTTGTTATAGATTTCCAGAGCCCTATCCTGAGATTCTGCTTCAATAGCTGTTGGGTCTGCTTGGCATTACACTTAACCAAAGTGTAAAATTTACTTTCTAGAAGAGAAAGAAAAATACCGGATGGTTTCACTCATAGCAGGAGTATAATGGACCAGGCGAGAAAATAACAAAAATAATGAACAACCATATACCAGAGACATTCTGTGGGGATGGAGTGGGGAATGGGATCAAAAACGGGGGGGGGGGGAAATGCATGGGACTATGGTGGTGGCACACGGGTGATTTAGTGATGGGAAACCCGCGGGGATTACAATCGAGATGGGAAAAAAAAATGTGCAAAATGATGTAAAAATAAACTTTTGTAATAATTAAATTTAAAAAATACAATAAAAAAAAAGAAAAAAAATTTGCTTTCTAGAAAGGTAGGCTGAGGCTTTAAGCTTGGCGGGAAACAGGAATTCCGTTTCTGTTTTTCAAGACTTAAACCACCCAGTTCACTCCAGCTACTGTCCTGAATGTCCAGCGCAGTGTTTCTATTATGGTCAATTTTGCATTCCCAGGGGCCACTTGGTAATGTGTGGGACCATCTTCAGTGTCACAATTGGGGGATGCCACTAGCATCCAGGAAGTTCAGGCCAGGGATACTAATAAACATCCCACAATGCACAAAGCAGTCAGGACAGAGGTTGTGTAAAAAGGAGTCCCAAGTCAAGTGGAAGACGCTCCCACTGACCAAAGGTGAAATGACTTGCAATTAGAGTAACCACTATCAAACGTTTAAGTCTATAAATATTTCTTGATTTAAAAAATAATTGATCATTTTCATAGGAAGCAAAGCAACCAGCTTATCATTGTGAAAACAGGTAACTAACGGGAAATACCAAGAATTTCCCTTTCTGTCTGAATTGTGTTATCTGAGAGCTATTGAGTAGAGATCTCTTACAGAAGCAGTTCAACTAATGAAGAATTATTTATAGAAATAATGAAAAAAATGAATTGAGGCAGCTAACATCATATAAAAACAATCAGGTATCTATAATGTGTTCTTGTCAAAAATGTGAGATATGAAACTTATACTTGTAATTAGTTAATACAGAATGTAGAGATACATTGTGACACAACGCTACTATTACCATGCAATATCGTTATGTATGATAATGTACAAAGAGCAAAATACAGCATGTAAGAAACCCTACAGGGTAATTCAGCTGTTTCAATGAATGAATTTTAAGAGGCAAAATGGATAGAAACTATAAATTAGGCTTAGAAAAAGAAAGCAACCAATTACAAAGTATAGTGATCTCTTGAAGCTTTCAGAAATTATGTGGGTTTTTAAAAAATTAATTGGGAAACTTGGAATCATTCTTTTATTGAAGGTATGAAACTAGCATTGTGTGTGCTTTCAAGGGCCCTAGATGTAGACACTGATGTTATTTATCACATTTGGGAGATGCTTCGTATTTCAGTGGGGGACTAAGACAGGGAGGGGGTATAGATGAGAGAAGACTGGCTCTGAGTTTAGGATTCATTTATATGTTTAAAATTTTCTACCATTCAAAATTCCTAAGTAGAAAAAGAGGTGATAAAACGACATCTGAAGAGATATCAAAAATAAGGCTGTTGTAATTCCATATGAAACTCTCTTACTTGAGACTGAGGCATCATCCATACAGTTGGGCCTCAAAGCACAGGAGCCAACGCACAGGAGCAGTCAGAGAGGCCTGACTGCTATTGAAGCTTCATCTAAAGATATTCCAGCCAGCTGCAAACCAAGTCCCATTTGGGTGGACACATGCACAGAGAGAATTAAATTCAGGTGAACAAAAGGGCTACTGATGAGCAACCCCGCCTTGCAGGCCTGCTGCTCTCTGCCTTGCCCTGGAATGCTCAGAGAAGGGCAAATTCAGGCCAAGGCAGCCTCTGCGTCCTACTGACCAAAAACTAGAGGTTGAAGAAAAGCTTCCCACTGGGTTTAGCTATCAGGAGGTTCTAGGACATGCCTGGCTGGTCTGGGAAGTATAGGGAAAAAAGAGTTGATTTGCACCAGAATGTGGCAAAGTGCATCCCCGGTTAGAGAAGCCTTGTAGGAACAGTTGAGGGGGCAGGAGGACCAGAAGGTTATCTGCTAAATCAAAGTGAAACACCATGGCTATCTGCCAAGAAATAGGTGATAAAATGTGATTCAAAGTTGACTAAGGAATGCAACTCTCGGATTAGAATCCTTGCGGTTTATGTTATTTACAAAGGAAAAGAGAAACAAAACTTTCACTAAAGCAGTATTAAAAGGCACCACAGACAATCACAGCTTCCAATTATATTGTCCACAACAAACTACTCAGCAGCTAACACTGAAAGGCAACACTGCAGCAGGGTCCATTCTAGTTAAGCAAGGTCCAAAAGTTTAAACAGAAAAGAAACCTTTTAGTAGTGGTAAAGTAATATAAGCTTGAGCATAGTTACAACTATTGTATCTTCTCATTTTTCAAGAAATGTATTTAAAATGCCTACAGACAGGGTTATTTTTTCTGAATTGACACTCATGCAAAATAGGACGCTACTGTCTCATCATCTCCAGCTAGCCTCTAGGACCCCCGGTTCCTCTCGGATGACGGGACCTAGATGCACTGAGGACAGAGACGATTCAGTAACAAGAGGTAGGTGGCCAGTGACTTTCAGGACAGCGAGGTGACAGGAACAAGGACAAGGCTCAGATTCCAGGTCCAGCGGGCTCAAGAGCAGCCACAGTTCCATCTCAGGTGGTTCTGAAGTTCAAATACACTCAGTGAAATGGAAACTCCACGATGGCAGGGACTCTCCCGCCACCTTACTCGGAGATGCGTCGAGGGGGCCTGGAAGAGCACACGACCCCCAGCTGGACCTTTTAAATATTTGTGGGATGAATCAAGTGAGAATACAGAGAAAAGCATTACACTATAAAGTGCCATCAACATAGGGTATTGACATTAGTTCATCTTTCAGATTCAAGGAATTAAACTTTATATAGAATTGAATATTTTTAAAATACTCTCATGTTTATTCAGTCATCAATAGCAAAATATTAATTTCCTAACAGAGGGCTAAACATTTGTCACGGTACAAAGAAAAATGGAATGGGGAAACTTTATAGAGGAGGGTAGAACGTTACAGAGGAAAAGGAGGGCTACAAATAGGACAAAATAAGCAAGGCTGCCCAGAAGACCCCAACCACGTGGGGCAGATCCAGCACCAGGCAGGCGGGCAGCTGGCTGTGCACAAAACATCCCCCTGCACAGCTTGTGCCACAAACGCCACGGAGCACACGTGGCTGTCACTGTCGGTCGTGTGCAGGTTGTGCTGAGTCACCAGCCCTGGGGAATGAGGTCTCCTCATCCATCTCCTTCACCACTGTACTTGCAGGGCCAGGCGCAGGGCAGGTGTTCAGTGATACTTGTCAACTGGAAGGGGGGTTAGTGTGAGTGAATGCCCTGCAGAACACAGCCCCTGGAAAAGGAGGTCCAAACTGCCAACATGGAACAAAATTTGGCCTTGACTGTCAGACCCCGGAGGTGGGTATGATCATTCCACTGAAGGAAAACCACCTCGACCTGAACTGAAACAGGATTCTCTTTCCTCCAAAAGATCATAAGAAAAACTGTCAGCACCACTTGGGTAAGAGAGATAAGAAACTGCTCTCCTGAAACTCAGCCAGGTCTTGCCCTTCTGTTTGAGAATGAGTGCAAATGGATTAGGGTGCCTTTCTGTGCCCCTTCATACCCCAAGTCCGCCAGCCCCCAAAGTCCTCAGAGAATCCAGATGAATGACATCTCCTTGAGCTCTCCCTCTGCTTCATGGTCCCCCCCACCCCACACCGCCTTCCATTAGCAAAAACAGGTGTTTCCGCAGAGCACCCTCACTGCACCAGGGTCTCCTGGCGATGCTGAGTTTTCTGGTGTCGATTGAGGATGGACCTCTGGTTGAAGCTCCTCCCACAGGCTGGGCAGTGGTAAGGCTTCTCCCCGGTGTGAATCCTCTGGTGTCTGACCAGCCGCTCCCCTTTACTGAACCGTTTCCCGCACACCTGGCACCCATAAGGCTTCTCCCCTGTGTGCGCCCTCCGATGCACCGCCAGGTTAGCGTTCCTGCTGAAGCTCTTGCCGCACTCACAGGTGTATGGCTTCTCCCCGGTGTGCGTCCTCCGATGCACCTGCAGGTGCTGTCTTCGGCTGAAGCTTTTCCAGCAGTCGGCACACTTGTAGGGCTTCTCTCCTGTGTGACTCCTCTGGTGCACCTCGAGATGGTGCCGCTGACTGAAGGTTTTCCAGCACTCGCTGCACACATAGGGTCTCTTTCCCAGGTGGGTTCGCTGGTGTTTCATAAGGTACTCCCGCAAAGTGAACCCTTTCCCACACTCCACGCAGCCGTAGGATTTCTCCTCTTCATGGGTTCGCTGGTGTCTGACAAGATTTGAGCTCCGACTGAAGCCCTTCCCACACTCAGGGCACTGAAAAGGCTTCCAGAAGGAGTTCTGGGTCTTGAGGTCATCAGGCAGGGGCACGACACCCTGCTGGGGAGGAGGCAGCCCTGGCATGGTTCCCACAGAGCTACCGGGCTCCGGCTCACAGGTGTTTCCCAGTTCAGGGCTCTGGAGGGCACCTTCCCCAAATCTCTCTGATGTCATTTGAACAAGCGCCCCCTTGAGATCTGCCGGCTGGGTTTTTGCCTCCTTTTCCTTGTTCCCAATGCCTACAGGACAAAGGAGATACAGACTGATTCTGAAGTAGCTCTGAGAGAAAAAGTACTTGCTAGAATGTGGCTCCTAAGAGTATCCCATCAACAGCAACTCCTTCCCTTTAACCAACAAGCTCAATACACTGTACTTTCACTGACTAAAATCGGGCTTTCCTTTACTTCTTTCCATCTCAGTTATGGACAGAATGTATGTATTCCTCCCAAATTCAGAAGCTGAAGCCCTAAGCCCCACTGTGATGCCATTAGGAGACAGGTAAGTAATCAGGCCTAGCCTTGAGGGTGGAGCCCATGATGGATGTAACGTCTTCATAAGAGGGAGAAGCCAGAGTTCTCTCTGCATGCACCCAGAGGTCATGTGCATATGATCCTTCATGATGGGATAATGTCCTCAAAGGAGGAAGAGACACAACTACTCCCAACACCAGCACCTATGTGAGGACAGGCAAAAGGGGCCACCTGAAGGGGACCCGCACCAAATCTGCTGGCACCTTCATCTTCTCAGTTTCCAGGGCAATGAGAAATCCTGTTCAAGCCAACGAGTTGATGGCATTTTGTCTTCTTCCATCTCCATGCCTTTCTACAGAACAGCCTACCAAATTTTAATGCCCTCTTAAACTCTAACTCCAGACTTTTACTTCCTTTATGGCTTAACTCATGCCCTGATTACTCTTGGCCTAGGGCTCTTCAGGACATGTGCATTCACTAGCACTTATTCACGCAACCAAGTTGTAAACACTCATGTACACTCATCGGGATGGGTCCCCTCTGCTGTGATTATCAGCCTATTCTAGCAATGGCGAAATAGCTGCAGTTCTCTGGCTCCTCCACCCACTGGCTCAGCTGCTGTCTCTGCTCAGGTTGCTCCCTCCACCTAAACTTGATTCTTAATCTGGGCACCTAGAATGGGGACTGACTCAGGGAGATACTTAATGGTCGTGGATGGAAGCCAGACTGTCACTGACCTTCCTGTACCATTCAGCCTCTATCATGGCATGATTCCTAGCACTGAAATAACTTAGTCTTTCCAGAAGTTCTTCTATGACCAATCTTGTACTCTCTCTAAATGAACAGAGCACTTGTTTAAGGACAAGAAAAAGAGGAGAAAAGTAAGAGGGCATAAAAAGAGCCAAGAGGGAACTGGCAATGTGCTTAAAAGAACAAAACGGCCTTTCTGTCAAGGCCATTATAAGGCAAGAAGAGAACATTACATGCCTCCTAATTTGATAAAATTTGAAGGGCACAGTAATCACTTTACATGTGCTTTTCTGTAAGCTTTTCATAAGGTAAAGTGTACAAGACACAAGTGTAGAGTTCAAAGAATTTTCATAAGGAACAGTCATATAAGCTGCATCTAGTTCAAAGAACATACCAGTCCCCACAAACCCCTCTCCCCCTATCCAGTGGCAAATATCCTGATCCAGGGTAACATGCTACCACCATAAAACATCTCTACCTGTTCTTGAACACCAGGTGACAGATTCATACACTGCCTCTGGCCTCTTCTGCTCAAGACTCATATTGTGCACAGCGTCAGTTACACTACATTCTTTTTCACTGGTATGTGGAGCTACACTGGAATATATTACTGATATTCATTTGGGCAGTTGCTAGTTTTGAGCTGGGATGGCCAATAAAATTTAAACTGACTGCAATGCACACCTGGACTCTGGGAACATGTGAATATAAGCCAGATTACACATTATGGAATGTGTATTTATTTTCTCAGGCTCAATCCTATACAGCTGTCAATGCAAGAACTGTAAGTACAAGGGAATGAATCTAAGGGAGACCTGAGTAAATGCTGACTGACTGAAAGGAATTGCTTAACATTTACACAAATAACAAAAGTACCTAGAACCACCATATTTACCAAACGCTTAGATTCACTATCTCATTTAATCCTCACATCACGAGATGGTGTTCTGTAAATATCCCCATTTACCAATGAAGGAAACAGAACCCTAACAAGGCCAGGTGAGATGCCTGTGGTCAGCCAGCGGTGAAGCCATGATGGGTTCCCCGAAGAAAGTATGACACTCACCCCTCCCTCAACATACTGCAAGATGGAAAAAGGCCAGGTGGAGCGAGGCCTTCTGTGTGGGCAGTATACAGCTGCCAACATGGTGACAAGGGGTCACAGGCACACAGCCGAGGGGCATCCCCGCCACTCTCCCCACTCAGCCCGGCGCTTTCCCACACTGCTCTTCATTCTGGCTCCAGGTGCCTGCAGAGCAGCCTGCGGGCTTCCCCAGCTGGGCCCTCACCCTACACTTCCCTTCACACTCTCCTCCCAGTTTCTCTCGCTGCTGCTGCTCCTGTGAACTCCTTTCACAGCAGGTGTCCTTTCAGAGTGCCCCAGCTCCAAGCCCACTGAAGCCCAGATACCACCTGAGACACTCAGGTGAAGCTCTGCTTGCTCTCACAGGCCCACACCGGCTCTCCCACTTCGAAAACCCTACAGCAGCGGCCTTGTGCCACCTTTACACTGCATGCCGAAGTTTCACCTTCTTTAGTTCCGTCCGTCCTCAAAGATTCTACCTTGGACCTATACAGGGCACATTTAACAAGCACCTGCTGAGCAAAAGATCCAGAGAACCCGACTATGGCTGCTTTTCTCAGGATCTCCAGGGCTCATACACCTTCAGCAGGGACAGACCAGGTACCTGGGGAATTTAACAACTCACCTGTGTCATCACAGCTGGAATAACTGCCTAGTGTTTTCTCAGCAACTACCCTCTCCCTCTCTTGTTGGAGGAGGAACTAGACAGTTGCTTACACCCCTCAGGGCATGACCCTTCCTCAGACCCATTACTAATCTGCCAGGAACCCACCTCTTTTGTCAGCAGCACCAACTTCTGAAATGTGAGGCAAAGGCAAGTGCCCTGACCTACAGCTTTCAAAACGCCTCAATTTGTCACCTGTGGGACAGAAACTGTCTTACCTGGAGGTGAGATCCCACAGTCCTGTGCTTCCACATATTCCCCAAAGCAGTCTATCTGGGTTGGAGTCACATGCCTCCATTCCTCCTCGGGGAAGGCCAAGGCCATATCTTTAAATGGTCCCAACGCCTGAAACAACAGAGGATTGCTACTGATAAAGAAACAGCCCCACGCAGAAGTAGTCTAGAGGCAAATGAGGACTTAGGAGACATCAGGAAAGAACAGAACAAGAAGACAGACAAACTGGGGTCTGCAGGCCCTTGGTTTTAGGCACACAGGTGCCTACCTCTTGAAAATTTAATGGCAGACACATAACAGATTTGTTTGAGTCTTTGCAGATCTGAGTCTCTGCTGCTGGCACTTAGCCTGTAGCTAAATCCGCAGTGCCCAATTTCCATTTTTCAATAACCTCCACTCAATCTTTAAGCTCATTAGAGCCTGGAGCTGCTGTCTATCCCCCAATATAGAATTTTCTCTCAGAGACCAGGAAACATGCAGGCAATCCCTGTCTTAAGAACAATGCCCCATTATAATACAAGCTTTGTCATTCATCACACCATGAGAACTATTACAGTGGAGGGGAGGGTCTGACCAATTTTAAAATGTTGCTGTCATTCTTCACGCTTGGAAAACACAAAGAGGAAGTACACAGGCATCAAATCTTGCCCAATTACTGCTTTAACTAGGTCACACCTGATTCACTTCTTGTTTCTGCCAAATGACATCTTTCCTTCTACAAGGATGCTTTCCAAAAGGCTGCCGCACTGGAAATTCCCATCTCCCTGGTAGCACTCAGCATCCCATGATACGGCAAGAGAGCCCCACTGAGGTGTTAGCTGCCCTGTTTGTGGCAGGCAAAGAAGAGCTAAGAAGACAAAAGCTCCTGGTTTGGTCAGAACAGGGTCCAGAGAGACGACTCTGCCCAGCGATCCCAGGGGCCTCCACTTGCGTGGGTGACATTCCTACTGATATAGCAGGAAGAGAAGGTTCAAAAGAAGAGCAGAATCCACAGAGGTACTGGTTTCCAGGCCAGCCACCATAGCTCTCATCTACAGGGTTTCTATCAGAAATGTCTTTTTCCTCACAATTATTAGACTAACACTGAGTCAATTAAAGAAAAAAATTCAAGACTAATACACCTGAACTGAATCTTATACCTGAATCCAAGGGTACAGGCTCAATTCAAATTTAACAACAGAAGATGGTAAAGTGGAGAAAATGAAGCTGTCATGTTCACAGAATAAGAAAAATAAAGTGATATAAGTTTGGGGATGGCACGCTGTTGTTCAGAGAAATCCTGGGGAAAGTGAAGCTCATTCAAAGCAAGGTCATGATCCCCAGAAAGGCAAAAGCAGAGCTCACCTGGGATCCAGTTGTGAGGAACCCAGCTGCCATCTCTTGGTCTCTGGTATTCACTGGGGGGAGGCCAGGACCAGCCTGAAGAATTGGCAGAGCTGAGCAGGGGAATAAAGCATGAGAAGGATTAGTGTTGTTGTGCAGTTAAGCGCATTCAGAGATGTACACAGCCTGAACAGAAGCCCAGGAGGGGTAAGAAAACTCCAGAGGTACAGGTATGCCCTAAACTGCTCTCAGCTGGGAAGGTGGCCCCAACCCAGTATGCCTTGTCCCTTCAAGGCTATGCAGGCCCCGAAGTCACACTCTGGAAGTAACACCCTTCGAGATTCAGTAACATGAAAGTCACAGATGATCTTTGGGGATATGGTTTGTCCGTCCATTTAAAAATTATCCCCATGTATCAGTTATATATTTCCTGGAGATTTGTGAAAGGGATTTGAGGGAAAGGATACAAGAAGAAACAGTAAGAGAATGTTATCTCCTGCAGAAATCAGAAAGTCAAGCTACAGAAAACATTGTCACTTAATCTGTTTCCAACTGAGGTCAAGGTAGTAGCCAGGAAAATTCAGATTTACACCTTGGGGGTAACTTAGCTTATCAACTGCCTGGTGTGTAAAAGGGAAGTGGAGGGGGAGGCACAATGCACCGTTTTCCAGGTTCTTCCTTGGGAACTGCTCCAGCTTACCCTGCTCCTGGAAGGCCTGCGTCCCATCTCCAGGGTCCTCATTGAGCTGCTCCTCAGCGCCTTGGTCTAGGCCTTGAACTCCTTCTCCCTGAGGCATCCCCCACTCAGGCTTGACCTCCACTGGCCCCAGGTGGCCACTCGATTCCCAAGGGGTTCTGCAAAGTGTTACCTCCTCCTGGCCTCCCTGCATGTGACATGGAACCTACAAACAGTTCCAACACCTATTAGAATGTGGCTGAGGGAAGGCTGTTATGAAAGGAAATTAAATCCTAAAAAGAAAGCTATGAACCATCCCAGATACAGGACAGAGGATGAAAAAGCTGGCTCAGCTCTTCCCAGGCTATCAGTGAGAATGTGAACAGGAAGTTAAGCTCAATTTATCAGGTTCTCAGCACCTTCTATGTGTCCATGCCTTTATACAAGGGCTCCATTGTGTCTGCCCCAATAGTGATCAATTATAAAAAGAATATATCAGAGCATGTAAATACTGCTTTACTGAGATTTTGCTCTGAAACACTCGCTGCTAGGGCCCTCCCTGGCGGCACAACGGGTTAAAGTGCAGCACTATGAAGTTCTAACAGCCACTGCAGCGCAAATTCAATTCCCCGCCAGGGAGCTGAACTACACAGTGCAGCAGACCTCTCCTGACCCACCCACTGCTCCCCTCAGCAGTGTATTTCAGTTAATCTGCCTGTTCTGCTCTGTCTCTGGTGAATCCTCTCACTCCTGCACCTCTGGCTTATACCCCAGTTCTTGTATGCATAAAAACATAAATCTTTTTTTAAAAATTAAAAAAACACTCACTGCTAGGAAAAAAAACTGCCCGTTACAGAAGCTGAAAGTAAAAACCACAAAGTGCAGTGATGTAGCTGAGAAAAACACTGACCTAAAAAGAGCAAGAAATGTCAGGAGGACTCATAGTACAATTCATTCACAAAAATAAGGCCATTCCCAGCCCACTTTTTAAAATCTTGAGTTGAGAGTTAAAAAAAGAAACAAAACTCCTGGGGTTATACAAGAAGTCAGAGTAACTGCAGTGGGAAAAAACTAAAGAATGATTGTTATTTGCAGGCAAAACAATAACATTTGGTGTTGCGCTCTTCATCCCCAGCCAACAACCCTGCAGAGTGGCAGAGATAAGGCCAGAGCTCCCAGGAAGCAGCTGAGATAGCTACTCAGTGTCACCAGAAGGATCACTACCACAGGATTACGGTAGCCTTAAGAGCTGACATGCAGATGTGGAAACAGCACTGTCAGAGAGAGCTCTTCTGGGTAAGAATATTCACTAAGGGGAACTCCTTGCTTTTGCACATGTTTCTGCCCAAAGGAGAATGAATTTACTTGGGACCTTGATGACATCTATTCTTGGCAGGTTCACGGGAGAAATGTGACCACGTCTCTACCCTGATGACCAGAAAAGAAGCCCAATGCCGTTCCACAGGTTCTGCATCTTCCCTGGGAATGGCTTTTCTTGCTGAATATGCCACTGCCCTTCAAAAAGTATCTCAAGGAGTCTGGGAGCAGAGGAAGGAGATTCTCCACCGTACTCACTGCTTCCTCAAATCTTTCAATTAGCCAAACCTTCCCTTCCCACACCAACAAAACAAGGCCCTGATACCCCCTTCTCACCCACCGCCTTGGCCTCCAATGCTCTCTCTGTGAAATCCTCCACCATGGCGACTAGGGCCTTGCCACTCTCCAAGCCGTGCTCCCGGATCCAGGCATAGAACTCCCGGGGCAGGATGGTCAGGAACTGCTCCAGCACCAGCAGCTCCAGGATCTGCTCCTTGGTGTGCAGCTCAGGCCTCAGCCATTGGCGACAGAGCTCCTGGAGTTCCCTGAGGGCTTCATGTGGACCGGCTGCCTCCTGGTAGCGGAACTGCCGAAACCTCAGGCGAAAAGACTCAGGACTACGATCCTCCCTTCCCTTGCCCCAGGGCAATTCTTTCTCCAGTTTTACCACAGGAGCACCCAACTGCTGCTGAGGATCTTCTGCCATCCCTGGACGCTCTTTCAGCATCTTCAAGCTCCCTCACTGAACACTGAAGGTCTGTTGGGAAGATCAAGCAGACAATGATGGCAGCACAAATGAGACATAAGAAAGGTGAGTCCATCCCTGTTCTAGCTCTGTAGCATTGAAGAGTTTGCTGCAGTATACAGTACAGTAATAAGGTACTTTCAAAAGACTGAACATACAACCTGAAAAGCATGTCAATTCAACTCAATAAATATATGCTCACCACTTATGTGCAGGGGGTAAATTGAAGATATAAAATACTTAGCTTCCACCCACAAATAACATAGGGTATTATAAAGGAGATAGCCCTACCACTAGAGAATAATGTAAGATGCATTATAATTAGGTCAATCACCAGAGTGCTCGCTGAAGGAAATATAAACAAGGCCCTTACTTGAAATTCATATACTAATACAGACAACAGAAAAAAATTAAATGCAAGCAAATAAAATTATAAATGGAGATAAATTCCAGTAGTACCCAGTTAGCTGGGTACTAACATGGAATGATCTACATGAAGATTCTTCTGAGAAGCAAAGAGTCAAAGGATGAGAAAGAGCCAGACACTCAAAGTGCATTTCAAGCAAAAGTCTTAAGGCTAGAAATTACTCTACAAGCCTGAGAAAGCCAAAGCACAGAGCAGCTTCAGTAGGGTGAGGGAGGGGCATGGCTGCACAAGAGGCAGAGGAAGGCAGAAACCAAATTATCCAGAAGCCAGTTATGAACACTACTCTCATTTATTTCAGTAGGGAGTTACATGTTTTGCAAAGACTGATTTTGCTTGTGGAATATCAACAGAGACTCGATTGGAAGGGATAAGAAGGGAAATAGCACTTACAGTTGTCCAAGGAGACCAGAGGATTAAACCAGGGTAGTGGCAAAGTAGCAAAGTCAAGACATTTTTTTTTTTGGCAGGTAAAACCAGTAAGACTTGCTGGATGTAAGGATACATTCAGCCTAAAGAAAACAGAGCAACTATTATCATAATAGATGAAAGATGTTCTAACTGGCAAATGCTTTCATTTAAAACTTACAATTAATTTTGTGAGTACCATTCCCGCGACTTTTCACATGGGGACCAAAGATGTAAGTAGTTATATACTGGCCAACACCTATTCCCAAAATATGTGACATAGAGGAGAAAAATGGGAAGTCATAGAAGGAAAGATTAATGAGATTCAAGTACTCATGCGAACCAGGAGGCCTGTACTAGACTGGAGGATGAGTGCTATTTAATTGCTGGAAGACAGACCCGAAGACCAAAGGGCGGCAAGGACTTCGCTTTTACAGTGCAATCACTCTAAACGGAACAGAATGAGAAAAGGCCAAAAATGCTGCTTAACGTTTTTTACATTTTTCCATCTATTCATTTTCTCTGCTGCATCAACGAAGATTATTCCTTCAAAACTTTCCAGCTACTGCATTCATTCCCTGCACTGTAGGGGATTTATTTATTTATTGCACTGTAGTGGAAATGTTTACCAATATGTCCCCGTCTACCGGACTCCCTGCAGGCGAGAGGTCCTCATGCAATCTTTTCATTATGGCTCTGGACAAACAGGTTATTCTTCAAATGAGTGTCCTACGTCTCGCTCTAAAAAGACTACTTTCGCTTTCCACCGGGTTTTATTGCGATTCAAGGTCTCGGGTTGGTGGGCACCCAGCTTTAAGCCAACCCTGGCCGAGCGGGACCAATCTCGCTCCTACCTGAGCCTACTGCTGCGTGGCCCCAAGATCCCGACCCGGAGGGCCTCGGTACCGCGGGAGGCAGCTCCAGGGAGACGCGCCGCCCGCACGTCCAGCTCTGCCGCCACCCAGACCCGCAGCCGCACCACAGCGCAACGCCGGCGCCAGCCCACCCCGCGCAGGAACCTGCCGCAGCCCAGACCCGGCTCTCTAACCCGCGGCCCCACACCCGCGCGGATTGCCCGTGCCCTCGACGAACCGGAAGTGGGTTGTTGAGGCTGTCAGACAGGTGCGCAAAAAAGGACGCTTCCGTTTCCTCTCTAGGATTCTTGGAGGTCAGTACGTCTCTATGGTCGCTCGTCCCAGTTGACCCTTTCAGCGATGGTGGCGCCACGTGTAGCTCTTCCCCTGCTAAGTGTTCCCCTTGCACACTTCAGACCCAGTACGTCGCTCAAGGGCTGTAGAGCCCAATGGGTCAATCAACCTATGTTCGTTCCATTCCCCCGTGAGGTCCGTGCAAGGAGGAGGGGCCAAGGGCGACCGAGAGAAGCAACTGCTTTATGGACTCTTCTAAGAACGTCGGACCTGCCCCCGGTGGTGGGGAGGGGTGAAGGAAGCGGCACCTGAACTCGAATTTGAAGGTGGGCCCAAAAGTTAGGTAAGAATGCCCCCAGCAGAGGGAGCAGCACCAGTGTAGTGCGTGCGAGCACTGATGCATTCCTGAAACCAAAGCCAAATGGATGGTCAGACCAGAACAGTATAAGAAAAATTTATTTTTTTTCCTGAGACTTGCTTTACCTCACACACCAAAGCCTGGAGGCTTTTTTTTTTTTTTAAAGATTTATTTATTTATTCATACAGAACTGGGGTACAGGCCAGAGATGCGGAGGGTGAGAGGCTTCACCAGAGACAGAGTGGGGAGCAGAACAGGCGGCAGATCGACGAAGTACACTGCTGAGGGGAGCAGCGGGCGGGTCAGGAGAGGTCTGCCACGCCACGTGGTCACCTCCGGGGCAGGCGGGAATCGAACTCATGCAGAAGTGACTTTAGCTTCTTAGTGCTGTGCTTTAACCCGCTGTGCCACCAGGGAGGGCCGCCTGGAGGCTTTTTGACTACTCTAGAGCTGTGCTCCAAGGCTAGGTAGGGACTGCGGGTAACTAGCTAAATGAACCAGAGCGAAGTCCACATTTCTTTGCTCCACAGCCGACTACAAGAGGAGTGATTTGAGAACTTTATCCCATCTTTATCCCATCTACTCAGACTTTCTCTCTTCCAGGAACCACTGTTTCAGTGATTTGGCCTTATTTGCACGCTGATTTGGGAAGTTGGGGAACATGCCACCTTAGAGTAGCTAGAACTATAGGGTGGGAGGTGAGGTGTCCTGCCCAAGGTTCAGGTGCCAAGGACCGCTGTATGTAAGTTGCCCTTAATAAACTTTAAATGTGATAAAATTTGTTGCTCGTGGTAAAGTGAAAAATCACATCTGAACTGGTTACTCTTAAGTTGCCAGTAGAAAATCAGAATTTTATGTGGTCTGTTCAAACTGCTGCAGGCAACCCACACACACCTATGTAATTATCCCACAGTTATCAATAGAATGAAACAAATAGACCCCAAAATAGCAGTGCCACAGTCTTGATAACAGACATGATTACTGTTAGCATGATTCAGACTCATGTAAAAATGAGTCTGAATTCCCTCCTCTGCTCACCTTCAGGCTTCCTTCACCTTCATGTATGTCTACCTCTGTCCCTGCCTAATGATAAAAAGGTGGAGTCTCACCACTATGACTGGTTTTAAACTGTGGGAGAGCAGGCACTCTGTGGAGGCAAGACTAGGTTCCCGCTGCGGGGGTCACTCAGGGGAGGGGTATGGGCAGAATGGCCATACTTGGAATTTGTAGCCTCATTGCAGAGGACTCTAAACACCAAGCTAAGGAGTACTGACTGACTGAATCCAGTGGACACTGTGAAACTAACATGAATGAATATTTTAGGATCTTTGCTTCTCATCTAAAACCTGATTCCTTTCTTCCTCTAAATCTTACAAAAGGCCAAATTCATATGCCTTTTCAAGGCTTCTTGGACCACTATCCAGTTCACAGGACTCTCTTCTACCTTGTTAATTGACCCAGTTTCTCTTAGTCAACTATTCCAACTCAACTCTATACCTATTGGTGGGTGGGAGGTTTTCTTTCAACTTAATCTCAGCATCTCATAACAACTAGTTAACAAATAGTTGCTGAGTTAAAAATTAGCCTGAAAACATAATTAGAAGGACAAATGTATGGTGACCCCCCATATACACACATATAGGCCATCTCAAAGTTCATGAGGATTATCTAAACCTTTGACCCCTAATTATCAAGTCCATTTTTAAAAAACATACCAGAACGGCCCCTCCATGGTGGAGCAGCGGGTTAAAGCACAGCACTAAGAAGCTAAAGCCACTTCCGCATGAGTTCGATTCCCGCCTGCCCCGGGGGTGACCACATGGTGCGGCAGACCTCTCCTGACCCGCCCGCTGCTCCCCTCAGCAGTGTACTTCCTCGATCTGCCTGTTCTGCTCCCCGCTGTCTCTGGTGAAGCCTCTCACCGCCCCTGAGCCTCTAGCCTGTACCCGTTCTCTATGCACAAATAAATCTTTAAAAATTTTTTTTAAAAAACCATACCAGCACGATGAGATGGCAATGAAATTAAAACGCTGATATTTATAGTATAGCCAGCAGGTGGCTGGCTTGTCTATTATATTTTACAGGCAAGATACTCTCTTGTAGCTCTTTTAGTAGAAAATGTAGCTTCCCTAATGATAAAGGGGAGTTTGGATAGAGTGACAGCAAAGGGTCCACTCTTCTCCTGGTTTTGGGGGCACGGGTCACACTTAGCTGGGTTCATTCATTTATTTATTCACACAGCATCTACTGAGCTGCTCCAAGGGCCAAGAACAGTTAACAGGTGCTGGAATACATATCTTCCAAACAGCACAGTGACAGTGTTGTTGCTGGTCAAGTCAGAGGAAACGTTAATTATAGGCTCTATGTGTACTAGAGCTTTGGGTTAAACAAAAAAGGCTTGCACCAGGTCAATTCCAAGTGTAATGTTAAAAGTGTCCATTTGACCTAGGGCTGTAACTGAAAGACAAAATTTAGACGAAGATTAGGTAGCGAGGTCAGCTCCTGGCCCTTGCTAACGTGAGGCTACTGCAGGGAGTGGGACACACACTCCCAGGACGTCTGTTCAGGCAGTCCCTCCATGACCTGGTCCAAACGCCAGTGCTGCTCAAAGGCCAAGAGCCTCTTTTAAATTGTCTGGTAACACCACACTTAAGGAAAGTTTGGGACTAGGGCACTGATGGGGGGGGGGCACTGATGGGGAGGGGAGTGGGGGGGGGGAGAGTATCGCGTTCTTCCGAAAGGCTCTCACTCTAGACTTTAGAGGCTTTGTTATCCTTGGAGGCTGGCTGGGCGCGGCCGTCGAGTAGCAGCCAAGCCTGAAGCTTCGAGAGCTTGCTGTGGAACCCGGCGCCGCTCCCGGACCTGCAACTATGGCAGGGCGACCCGGCCACTAGCGGGGCCCCGGACCTCACCCAGGACGCTGGGTGCCGTCGCAACCCTTGAGCCACCACACAGCGAGTTTCCCGTTGCGACTGCGCGGGCTATGCACCCTTCCTCCCCTGGAGCCTGGGGTCGCTGGAGCCCGACACTCAACTCACTCAACACGCTCTGCCGTACGCAAGACTTCGCCCTCCCAGACACAACTGCAAGATTTACTAGAGTCCCGGGTCGAGCGCTTCCGGGTCCTATCTATGCAGCTCGCTTTCCCGAGGGCCCACTGGAGAGCCAGGTCCTAAAGCAAAGGCGCTGGGAACCTCGTTCAACTTCCCAACGGATGGTTTGAAGAACGATGGACCAGACTTTGGTTTGCACATCATCTCTAAGTGACCTGCGATTTAAACTAGGTTCCTGCTTTCTCCCTATTACTTGCACCCCCATTTGCCTACAGGGCTTCCTCCTTCTGTGTTTCACCACCCTTCTTCCTAAGGGGAGACCCCTACTAAACTCAGAAATATCAGCTACTTGCCTAGAGCACTTACCTGGGCATCTCATTAACCTTCACAATTCCATGAAGCCAGTACTTTTAATTCCTTTGCATGCCAGAAACTGCAGTTTGTAAATTAGATGCAGTGTTTAAACCCTCGCTCACTCAAAACTAGTGCCCCAGTTCAGCTGCAACCAGGAAAATCAGAGAAGCCTGGGTGGAAATTTGTAATGTAAGCACCTATGGAAGACAGATATTGTAGTCAAGTCCAAATTATAAATTACAAGAAACTAATTATTGAAAAAGTGAATGGGCTGAGTCAGCAAAAATTTAAATTTTTGTCTTTATTTTGTTGATCTTCATAGGCATCATCTATTTGAAAATATTCTTACAGTCTTTAAACACCAGTTCCTCTGTGTACTCATATTTTGAAGGGACTACAAGATGTGATACCATGATACAAATGTTGTATATGTCTGGTTTCACCATCTCTAGCAGGGTGTTCCTACTGCAGTCAAGGATGCCTGATGATTCCACTATCATCAGAGAAATGTTTTCTCATTAATTCCTTTTTATAAAGGAATTTTTTTTATTTTTTAAAAATGTTTATTTTTACATCATTTTGTATTTTTTTAATCTCAATTGTAATCCCTGTGGGTTTCCCACCACCAAGTCACCCATGTGCCACCAACATAGTCCAGCGATAAAGGAATGTTTTCTATAAAATGTTTTCTCATTAATTCCTTTTGAGATTTTATGCTAAATCCTTTTTAACTTTTGAGTATTTATGACCAATTCCTTTTATATTATTTCATTTAATTTTCATGCTATTCTTCTTCTCTGTTGTATAAACAAGAAAACTAGTGAGGTTAACTTCCACTCAGTCAGGAAAGAGCTAAATTCAAGCCATTGTTTTGACAACTACTGGAAACTACTTAATGGATGGTTTGATTATCATTTGATTGTTTCTAC